CCTTTGGGATTTGATTCACCGTTCGAAAGCTGAAAAGTCTTCTAAGTACAAAAATTTGATCTAGCAAATAAAAAGTCAAAAGGTCTTTCTCGGGTACAGATCCCGATGTTTTTAGGATTTTTCATTTGATTGTCATTGAAACACATAAATCCGATTAAATTAATTTTTTTTAGTATTTTAAATTATATTAATTAATTCGTGTCGTGTGTATATAAGAAATTAGAACGTTTAGACGGATCCGGGAAGACTGTTATGTAGGAGTGTAAGTATTTTTTATTCTAAATTTGAATTCGAATTTTTGAAATTGCATGCATTTTATTAATTTATGTGTATTTTAAAATTTAAACGGATACTGACCCCATTTTCGATAAAAAATAGAATCCGAACTTATAATCAATGAACCTAAGCTATTGAAAATTTATAAGGAGATGAAACCAGTAAACAAACCTAATGACTGAAGAATACTTGGACTGCGATGATAAATGAATTTAGAATTTAAAAAAAATTTCTAATTAAGTAAAAAGTTGAAAAAAAAATGATATAAGAAAATAAAAATAGAAATGAAAATGAATAATTATGATTGTAAAACGATTAGTTAAATAAAATTTCAGAGAAAATAGAATGAGAGTAAAATAAATGAGAAATCAGAATGACAGGATGCGAGTGATTAGGATATGGACTCTGAATGTCATTTTCATTTAGTTTGAATCGAGTAGAGGAATGTGTGTGTGTGGCTGAAGTTTAATGGATATAGTGAACCTGCACATGGATAGAGTTTGAAACCTAATCCAGATATAAACAGATGTCTGTGAGTTTGAAACCTAATCCAGATGTAAACATATATTTATGAGTGTGGGTCACCTACCAAACGTATATACTGTGGCCATTGTGAGATTCTGTATGTGTGTTATTCATGCGATGAGGGAATCCATTTTGTCTCTTCTTAATGACGACATAAATGGCATCGTGCGATGAAACTTTAAAAATGACATTTCGAGCGTATATGTGATTTTTCGTGTGTATGTGATTATGTTTCGAGATGATAATTGATATTTAAATGTATTTATATTCTTTCGAGAATATGTGAATATACATTTGAAGATTGTATATGATATTCGAGAGAATTCAGAAATTCGATCAGAAATATGTGAAGTAGTGAAAATAATAAATGAACTTTGCATTAAAGCATCACTATTGCATTTGTCTCATACCAAACGTATCTACTGTGGCCATTGTGAGATTCTGTATGTGTATTATTCATACGATAAGGGGATCCATTTTGTCTCTTCTTAATGACGACATAAATGGCATCGTGCGATGAAACTTTAAAAATGGCATTTCGAGCGTATATATGATTTTTCATGTGTATGTGATTATATTTCGAGATGATAATTGATATTCAAATATATTTATATTCTTTCGAGAGTATGTGAATATACATTTGAAGATTGTATATGATATTCGAGAGATTCAGAAATTCGATTAGAAATATGTGAGTAGTGAAATAATAAATGAACTTTGCATTAAACATCAC